CCCCCCCCCGTCGATGAAACTAAGGCGCGAGGATTCCTTCAGGACCCAAACGCCGCTTTCCAGCCGGAAAAGCTCACCCGGAAGCACTTTCTTGTCAAACAAGATGGCAGCGCCCAGCAAACCGGCGGCCCGGTAGGAAATGTTCCACGGACCGGGACCGGTCTGCGGCCTGGTGGTTGGGGACCCCTGCTTTAAAGTCCCCAAAGATCCCACTGGGAGGGTAGAGAGGATTCTGGAAGGCTGGCCATCCTGCCTACAAATGGGTATTTTGTGATCTGCTATGCCTACTTGGATGGGCATTTTGTGAGGGCACCAACCATATGATGTGCCCTGCATCAAAAGGTTTGCCTACTTCTGCTTCAGTGTTGAATCCAGCTAACTATGGCTTAACCAACCATGGCATATTATAGCATACATATTCGGTTACTATACATTATCTGGAGAACCCAGAAAATCAAAAGTGGAATATGATGGCAGATGAGATTCTGCCGAAACGTTGCTACAACTTTAAAAGCACAACTATAATGACGTGGGAAAACACCCGAACAAAGCTGAATACCGTGTGTGTGTGTGTGTACGCACACACACACACACACACACACACACGGATCTTTGGTTATTCGGGTTTTCTCCCGCATAAAATTGCAAGTATCTTGGTGACGTTTCGATGAGATCTCATTCGTCATCTTCAGGCTTGTGTCTCCAGCTTTGTGCAGCTGCTTCCTTTTAACTGCTAGTAGGGGTGTGACTTGATTGGGTGGGGGTTTGGCTGTGTTCTGATTGGGTGGGAGTGTGTTCTCATTGGTTGAAGGTTTGGCTGTGTTCTGATTGGTTGGGGGGTTGGCTGTGTTCTGATTGGCTGGGGGTGTGTTCTGTTCAGGTGGGGGCTTGGTTGTGCTCAGGTTAGTCTTAGTTGCTGGGGGATTTTTATATAATGTATGTATATAAAATATATCACAGATGAGATATAAATGAACAAGTCAACCTTCCTCCAACCTACATTTTATTATGTACTAGGATTAATTCCACAGCATTGATTGACTATTGCACAATATGAATAAGCAGCCACTATATCTTTCTTTTAAAAAAACAGACCTTCATTCTGAACAACAGTTAAGAAAAATTAAACATTTTTTATGTCATTCATAGTTGCAGTGAAAAGTTGTTCATCGTCACATATGTCAGGACTCATTCTTAAATAGTTTAAAATGTATATATTTACATCTACTGGGTGAAACATTAAAAAAAACAAAATAATAATAAAATGGCATTGATCTACCAGCCTTCCCCATTTTTCTTCTTATATTCCAGTGTTTCTCAATCTCAAATAATGAAAGATATATGGACTTCAACTTCCAGAATTCCCTAGACAACAATTCTGGGAGTTGAAGTCCACATATCTTAAAGTTGTCAAGTTGGAAACACTGTTCTATTCCAATTTCTTCTTTAAAAAATTCTCAAGCTTCTTGTAATGGATTCAATGAATTTCAATAGGAATTTAGATTTCCGTTCTTTAAATTTTTAGCCAATCATTGTTAAGATCTACCCTGTTAGCAATATTTCAGCTTAATCGACAACTATTGTTTATTAGCCTTTAGAGAGTGACAATAAAACTCCAAGCAACAACTATTTTACCAGTTGGGCATGTTCTTTAGTGCACTGAACTCCTAAATTTCACTCAAGGCATAGTTAAATTACTTTATCAACCCTTTGGAATGCATCTTTCAAGTGGCACTCAAAAAAAAAAAAACCCTTGATATCCTTCTCAAAATAGCATTACTGAGCTATGTATCTGCGTGCTGGCAGAGGAATTCTGAGAGTTGAAGTCTACATATCTTCAAGTTGCTGAGATTAAGAAATACTGATCTGAAGTGAAACCTGGCAGGTGCTAAGTACAACCAAGCTGGCTGATCTCTTCTACCCTCTTGTTTACATTAGCATATTTCTCTACACGTTCTGTATTAGGAAATCTCCATCTTTGCTGTAATGCTTGGCAGGTGCAGAAAACGATACCCAGTTACATCAGACCTTGCAAAACAAGAAGCTGTTTTTCAGTGGATCCATTCTGTGTTACTTAGAAGTTGCCAGGGTTGGTTTCAAGGTTGTCCTTGGGAGATTTATTTCCACCACACGTCGGGTGCCATGACAGTGGATGGCTTCTTTTGGTCGTTGGCGAGATGCTGTCATTCAGTGAGGGAAATTCTGGAAACTGCCATCCTGTTCCATGTGGAATGCCAGAAAATGCAAAATCCGGTTCCCCTAGATAACCCTGCGTTGCATCTGTGGAAGGCTTCAATCAATCATCATCTTCATCTTTTAATGACCCCATAATCCCTTGCGGGGTGTAGTCTTGGGCAACTGAATGCAGCTGAGTGTTTACTGGCCAGATGCCCTTCCTGTCACTAATGCGGAGTTTTGTTTAGCAGATATATTCTCATTGTGCCCAGAGAGAAAAATATCGGCCTCTACCTAGAATTGAACTCACAGCCTCCTGATTGTGAGGTGAGATCTCCACCTCTAGGCCACCGCACCATTCCCATGGAAGGCTTCAATGATAGGCCAAAATGCTGTTGTTTGAAAATCTTTTGTGCAAATCTTCGATCTGGGTTATAGAACAAATGTCAGCATTCTTTTCTCTCAGTGTCTGCCATCCACCTTGTTCCCAATCCTGAGCCCAAGGTGATGTTATTTATCTTTTAAAAAATGTTCCGTTTATTTAAACCAGGGGTCTCCACACGTGGCAACTTTAAGACCTGTGGACTTTCAATTGTCAGAATTCTGGGAACTGCAGTCCACAAGTCTTAAAATTGCCGTGTTTGGAAACCACCAAACGCAGAATAGAAAATAGGATTTTAAAACCTTGACATGTAGCCTTGCCACTACCACACCCTGTTAGATTTATTCATTTACACCCTGTTTCCTTTCCATCACCTGGCCATTCAAAAATTTAAGAATTTGGTTCTGTCCAGCTGTGTAGGCTGTCAACTCACAGAAGGTTACTAACTGGCCTATAATTTGTTTCTCATTCGAGTTTTAAATTAATTAGCAAGTAAATCTCCTTGATCCTGCACCATTATGGCCAACAGTTCTATTTACTTCTCCCCTCAACGTAGGTGAGATGGTCAACCATGTGGCATTATTGTGCTACATGTTCACATTTTTAAAAACAAAAATAAAAATAAAAAATCCTCAGTCTTTGCAGAAACCATTCTGTTCTTTCTCAGGATAGATCATAACGAAGCCAGAATCCGGGCAGAAGTTTGAAAGCACTCCACAAACATATAGACATATGACACATTCTTCCAAAACTTTCTGGTCCTTGCAAAGTGAACAGTTGACGCCAGATTTGAATGGGTAGTTGTTGACTGCAAGTCGGGGCTACTCAGCCCTGGGTTCTTAAAGGCTACATTGTGAACTCACAACATCCATTCTGAGGCCCTTTGTGGGTGAGACCGCCCTTGGTCACCAGGCCCTAGTACAATGAACTATCGGTGTTGAAAAGTGTGAATGGGGTTGTCAGTTTCTTCTTCATGGCAGAGGTCCCACTTACAGCCGAAGGAAGGCAGAGCGTGCTGGCAGCTTTCTGCCTGTTTTTGGTTCCCCAACTCAAGAAGGACAATTTAGGCGTCACCTTCTTGGTTTTGTCGGTTCTCTCATCTTCCATCGCCAGACATATAAGGGAGTATGTTTTCTGCATCCCCGCTGAGTAAGTGGCACATTTGTTATGCTGTGGGGGAAGGAAGGAGAGAGTTATGAGCATTAAAAAAAAAAAAGATTTAGTCAATGCAAAGTGGAAAGCAATGTTTGAACTACACAAGTAATCCTCGATTTACAATCAAATTTTTGCTCTTTATCACTGCAGTTGTTAACTTAGTGACAGGGTTGTTAAGTGAACCCAGCTTCCCATTGGCTTTTGCTTGTCAGAAAGTCACAAAAGGGGATCCCATGACCACGGGATTTTGCCTGAATTTTGTTCACGTGACCATGAGGAGGCTGCAATGGTCGTAAGGTTTAAGAAAGGTCCCAAGTCACTTTTTTCAGTGCCGTTGTAATTTTGAACGTCACTAAATGAACTGTTGTAAGTCAAGGACTACCTGTATTCTGTGATGGGAGGATGCTGTTCTTCTGCATTCATTAAATTCTCTCTGGGCTAGCCTCCAAGTTTATGTAGGTCGACTTTCAAAAAAATTGGCTTATTATTAAATCTGGGTCTGAGATTTGACTTCTCGTAATATTGTTTCTGAACAGGTTCCTTTGCCCGAAGTAAAATGTCCAAAACCCAGAGTTGCAGTGAGCAACAATCTCATCTTTGCAAAAACAATAGGGTCATTTTTTCTAGAAAATTCTGTGCCGGTGACTAGAAAAATGTATATATTGCAAGCAAAAGCTATTTGCTATTTTTAAAAAGCAATTAAAAGTTGCAAAGATTTGAAATGCTGAAGGAATAGACATTTTCTTTCTACCAGTTCCCAGTTTATTTAAATCTTTTTTAAATGGAAACCCACACTATTAGCATTTAATTATTTGCTATGGCAATTGGGGTTAAGAGGATGGGTGAGTTGAGAACTATAATAACAACGGAGAATGAATCTCAGCTTGCCTTTCCTTAGAACACAATTCCATTTTCACCTTCATTTAATACAAATTCAGAGGCCATCCGACTCCAAACAAGCTTAGATGGCTGACACTTTTTAAAAAAAACCCAGGAACAATTAAACAATAAAGATGCATCATACGGGTCCAGATTATTGCTTAAACATAATAAATATCTTGCAATTCTGATGGTCTTGTAGTGAAATTCTGCTCCCAGCTTTACTTACCAAGGAAGGTGCATTATCTTGACAGCTGATCACTTGGATCTCAATCTCCCGTTCGCTCAAATTCTGGAGTTTTTCCAAGACGTCACTCACCCCCAACCATTTGCAATCCGTGTCTTCAACAGCAATCACAGTGTCTCCTTCTTTCAAACCTGCCAACTAAAAAAAAACATCAGCTATAAAGCCAGGCAGAATCTGGTAGACTTTCCTTACCAACCTTAATTGTCCAACTTCACCATGGAAGCCAGATTAAAATAATAAAGGTTTTAAGCTACCCGCCTATCTCTAATCACATAGGATCTGTTGATTTCAATGGGGTATTAAGCCCAATCACTCAACCAATCATGTAGCAATAAACTCCACGATGCCTAGTGGGACTGAATTCTGAATCAACAGATTATGATTTTATTAATAAATAATCTTGGTGATGGGCTTCCTCACTGTGCTGTTAAATCCTAAATTTTCTTCCCTTAGATTTGGCTTAGCATACTAAGTGGATCTAGCCAATTGGGATTTATTTGCTACTCCGAGGTTAAGCAATCTATGGTTTACTGCAATGTATAAACTCAGTCTTGAAGAAATTAACAAAGGAAAAAGATGGATTATTACTTTCATTGTCTACAAGTAAGGTGCATTAGGCAATGTTTAAATTGGACCAATCCAAAGTGTTAGGAAGAATCCCAGCCTTCTTCTGGATTACAGCTTAAAATAAACTCTACTTTTCAAAGTCATTCGGTAACAGCATTATCAGGGAAGGCATGTCAAATAGCAAAATAAAAGCCCATCAAAGAAAGCGAGTTACGTTTCTGATGGACTCCAATGCATTCTTTTCTTGTGGGAATTAACCCTATCCACTCTGAACAACTCTACCAAGAGGAACCCCTGGATCTAAAAGGTCCACTTACTGCTGCAGGAGAAGCTGGGTCGATGCAGTCAACCTGTACCGGCGGGCCACCTTTGAGAGTGAACCCCAACTGGCCATCTTCACAGTAGAAACGAATGAAGCGAGGGGGTGACCACCTCTGCTTGGCTGAAAAGACCGCAGGTGGGCCCTGAGACACAGAGAGCAGTAGAGCTAAATTATTCAATCCATCTTTTGCAAAATGTTTGTGTGGAGAGAGCTTCTCTCCCTGCAGGTATTCCCCTAGACCAGGGAGTCTTCAAACTTGATAGCTTTAGGACTTGTGGATTTCAACTCCCAGAATTCCTCCTCCATGAATGTTAGCTCAGGAATTCTGGGAGTTGAAGTCCACTGGTCCAGGTCTTAAAGTCCAGGTCTTAAACTTGGCAAGTTTGAAGACCCTCGATCTATTCTATCTATCTATCCTATCTCTTTCTTTCTCTCTATTCTACCTCATTCTCTATATATCTATTCCATCTGTCCTATCTTTCGATCTCTCTCCCTCCATCTATCTATTCTATTCTATCTTTCTTTCTTTCTATCTCTCTATTCTGCCTCTCTTTCTCTATCTATCTCTTCCAGGGGTCTTCAAACTTGACAGCTTTAGGACTTGTGGATTTCAACTCCCAGAATTCCTCCTCCAGTCATGTTAGCTCAGGAATTCCGGGAGTTGAAGTCCACAAGTCTTAAACTTGCCAAGTTTGAAGACCCTTGCCCTAAATTCTATGTTTTCTTCTAGAAGCGTCTGTGCAACTGCACAGCAGTTAGTAATTTACATGTTATTCTTCCTAAGCGCAATCAAGACCCCACACACATGGTACCTTAACAATGAAAAGCTTTAGAGGGAATTGTGTCCAGTCCATAACAGAGGTGGTATTTAGCCAGTTCTGACCACTTCTGGAGAACCGGTAGCGGAAATTTTGAGTAGTTCGGAGAACCGGCAAATCCCACCTCTGACTGGAGATTGTACAGTATCCTTTCCCTGCCACGCCCACCAAACCACGCCCACAGAACCGGTAGTAAATTTTTTTGAATCCCACCACCGGTCCATAACTGTCACCATCATACTTGGATCAATTTATAGCATGGTTTCTTGAGTAAGTCCCCCTCCCTGGCTTCACACAGCATACTAAAGCATTAAATTTTTTTAAAAGCCTGGGTTTTATTCAGCAGTTGAAACTGCAAAGCAAAATAATCTATATATGTGGGCCTACTTAAACCGCCTCTAGCCTTAACTGTAAACCTTAACCTCACATTCATCGGTAGACACGACACACTGCTATTTTGCAGCGAGAAGCCCTCCCAAGCGATAGATTTACGTTTCAAGAAGCAGAACCTTATTTTCATAATTATTTTAATTCTGATGCAAGAAGGCAATCATACATATTAAGGGCAATGTGTCATAGTGACAGGAGAGCAGGTAGCTTCAGACGTACCAGTCTTTCGAAGAGGTCTCTCACGTTAGAGAACAGAGGAGGAATCAGTTCTATTTTGTGATTTGTGTGGGCTGGAATAAAAGCAAAGCAAATAGATTTATTTTTTTTGTTAACCACTTCTTGGAAGCTCAGAGCAACACATTTTCTGTTCATACCCCTCACCCTCTGTCACAGCAGCTGGGTGAAGTAGCTGAGCTCAAGATTACCTCAACATCTTAAATCTTCTAAGGGTTTTTTTCTTCATAGCTTTAGAAGCCCAGAAATCTATCCATTCCAATGGGACTATCCACTTTTAGAAACTCAACAGTGTCAACAAAAATTCTGAGATTAGATTGGAATGGGATTACTTGAGTTTTATGTATTTTATGATTTTTAAAAATTGCTTATAAAATATTTTTGTTTTTAAATGGTTTAAACGGTGGTGGCGGCGGCCTTTTTTCCTGTTTTTAATAAGCTGCCCATGGTTATACACTGTATATGAAATCGGTAGCTACATAAAGTTGGATGATAGATAAATGATAGATAGAGATAGATGGATGGATGGATAGATGATAGATATAGATGATAGATGCCAAGATGAGGTGTGAATCACCACATGTCATTCTCAGTGCTGGATCTGACAATCTATCTAAAAACTGATCCATTCCTGGTCATCCCAGGCAGAAAAGGACTTACGAAGGATATTGGGTGCCGACACCAAACTAAAGAAGTCGTCTATTTGCTCCTGCTGGGTATATTTGAGAAGGGACCGCTTGTGTGCGACGGACAAAATCTCTTGAAGGATCTCTATATTCCGGAGCTTTGTGCATAAGCTACAAACCCTTAAGGCTTCTTTGTGATACAGGAGAGCTTTATGCAAATGAAGTCTTCCTGGAGAAGGAAAAAAAAATGAATGAATGAATGAATGAATGACTAAATAAATAGGATGGATTTCTGCATCATAAAAAATCCAGCATTTTTAAGGCACAACAGCTCTGCCTATCAAGAATCATACAAACCACATTACTTAGTGTGACTTGCTGTTCTGTGCGGGAACACAGTTATCCTAATCAAATCAAGGCTACCCAAATTAATTATGATTGTCTACTATGGCAGTGTTGTTTTAACCTCAACAACTTTTAAGTTGGGTGGGCTTCAACTCCTGGAATTGGAGCCCATGATGGCTGGGGAATTCTGGGAGTTTGAAGTCCTTAACCTTCTTAAATTTGATGACATTGAGAAACACTTAGTCCAGACAAGCCTTTCTTCCCAAAAGCATAGATCCCACCAGTTTTGGGAAGATAAAACGACATATCCCGAAGCAAAGAAATACTTAATTTTATCAACCACGGCTAGTTGGATGATAAGCCTTAAAAAGAGTTCACCTCCTACCAGGGCTGGGCTGCTGGAGGTTCGCAGGCATTCGGGAGAGCCCCCTAGCTAAGATTCTGTGCACTTCGGAGTACCCCCAAATCCCAGTTCAGGTTGGACCCGTCCGCCCCTCCCCTCCCTGGTGTCCCCACACGGCCCCGTTTTGGATACAGGTAAGTGCAGGGCGCACGTGGAGGCTCGGGGAGGGAAATAAGTAGGCCTCCCGAAAGTTCGGAAAGGCCTGAAACGGGCCCATTTCTGGCTTCCAGAGAGCCTCTGGAGCCCAGGGAGGCCATTTTGGCCCTCCAGGAGGCTCGAAGAAAGCATCCAGAGCCCAGGGAGGGCAAAAACACGCACACCCCGCCATGGTGCAGGAGGCCAAGTAGGCCACGCCCACCATGGCCACGCCCACTCAGCAACTGGGCAGAGGACCCGATGACCCATTGCTAACATTTTTGAAGCCCATCCCTGGCCCTTACCTAGTTGTTTACGCTGGCTTCTATCTCTTAAGACAGCTAAGGGTGTCATCCCCTCAGGCATGTGGTCGTACAGCTGGCCAAAAGCCTTTTCCTGTTGATCTTCATCATCGGCCTGATGTACTGGGGTTACCAGAACAAATACAAAGGAAAGAGAAGATAAACATTGGTTTACTTTCATTTACCATCCAGGTGAGATGCCTCCAGGCCTGAGGAACAAAGAGCAACACTTAATAGTAACCACCCGTTCCAGAACCTGCTTTTCTTCTGGGATTAGGGCTCCTCGTATTTCAGTCTGTTCCTAAAATTGTTGAACAATCAGTTGCCCAGAAGTGGTATTTCCATCAGCAGGTTAAAAGTCCATTTTCCAACATTGGTTGGACCAGAATGCCCCAAGAAAAATAGAACATCGGGGAAGGCTACTTGTGCCTAATTCCGATGTATTTCCTATTACGGGAGGGAACACGCACTGCTTTTTTAGCTTTTAACCCTTGAATTTTGACAGTGTGAACTTCAGGGAGAAGGGCTCCATGATTCACAAGCGTCGTGGGGCCTGTTTGTGCAGTGGTATCCCTGGGTGGGCTCGGTTCCATTTCTCCAATAAAGGAGAATATTTATAAGTCAGGGTTGAAATGAAGGAGTCTCTGAGCTTAACTGTTTTCTTGCTGGCATTTCACTGCTCAAGCATTACCATGCATGGATGATGTTACCTAGTCTGGGTAACGAAAGGTCTGCAAGAAAACAACCAAACTCAGAGGGCACCATGGACACTTCATTTCTTGGTCCATTGATAGGGAGGCCAATGAGTGTACGAATCTGACAATCTTCTTACATTGGTGGTCGCACAGCATCGTGGCAACAAAATAATGCGCCAAAGCTCTAAAATGATCCGATTTGACTTGGGCCAGTTTTGACCAAGAGTAAGGGATGTTCTCCTTGACTGGTGCTTGATTCATCGCGGTGTCCACAAGCATGTACATCTCTCCAACCTTTAAAACAAAGCACAAGACCCGCGTATGAGCTACTGACTCTTTATATTAAAAGTTCATTCAAGGCACTCCATATTGGCGCTGATCAACACTTATTGGAGTCTATACTTAAAGATGCACATTGTTCTCACAAAGGATTAAAAAAGAGAGAAAGAACTTCAGCAATAACAACAGATCTTGTTTTCCTCACAGAGGGTTAACGTCATTGCACTCCAGAGGGTCAACGTCATTGCCCAGAAGATCATTGGTTTTATAGCTCCTACTGCCTTAAGAAAGTTCAAAACATTCTCAAAGATCCATCTCACCCTGGGCACCCTTTTCTTTTGAACTATTATCATCTGGAAGACAGTACAGGATAATAAAAACAAGGGCAAATAGGCTAAAAAACAGCTTCTATCCCAGGGCAGCAGCTCTGTTGAATCCTACTGTATAGTGCAGTGTTGGGGGTTTTTGGTTCATGTGGAATATAAAGGATGTGTGTTTGTGTTTATTTTCATGGTCATGATGTGCATTGAAAATGGTGTTTGATTTCATTGTATGAGGTGCAATGACAAACTAAACTAAACTAAACTAAACTGATGTTCATCATCGAATCTAAAAGGCTGAGAATAACTTCCAGAAAGAAAAGCAGCTTTCTAGTCAATCAATCAATCAGAATAGAATTGGAAGGGACCTTGAAGGTCTTCTAGTCCAGCCCCCCTGCTCAAGCAAGAGAACCTATACCACCTCAGACAAGTGGCTGTCCAGTCTCTTCTTAAAAACCTCCAGTGATGGAGCAACCACAACTTCTGAAGGCAAAGCTGCTCCACTAGTTAATTGTCTTCACTGTCATTCTTCACTGTTGAAACAAGCTTTGATCTTTTGATCATCCATGGAGGGGAGGTCCATTGGAACATTACAAGACCCACTTCTGCCTCCCTAGCATCCCATAATAGGAAAAGCACCGTCTCTTTTGATCCTTGGAAGAGCTACGTCACAGGCAACTATCGTATTGTCCCAATGTCAGCAAATGATAAAGGTATGCGTACCGTTCTGCTCTCGTGCGGCTTACCTTCGCAACTTCCTGGGCCATTTTTATAAGCGTGAAAAATTCATTCCGTATGCCAGGAAGGCAGATCTGTTCAAAGATGCACTCCTGAACTTGAGCGAGCATCATCTTGATCAGCACACTCAACATGGCAGGGCTCATGTCGTAACTTGGAGTGTGAGTAAAAGTTTCTTTTAGATAGTTTAGAACTCCTGAAATTGGGGGAGAAGAAGGAAAGAGGATTCCTAGAGCATCAGTTCCACAACTGCATTTATCCATTCATTTCTCAGTTTAGATGTACATGTTTTGGGTCATCAAACGTTATTGAGGTAAGTCAAAGTTTGTCTTCAGTACTATTACTTTAATATAAAAATTGTTTGGAGGACTCCAGTAGAGTATTTCCCAAACTTACCAACATTAAGGTGTGTGGACTTCATCTCCTGGGATTCCCCAGTCACCATGCTGGAGGAATTCTGGGAGTTGAAGTCCACCTATCTTAGAGTTGTCACACTTGAAAAACACTGCTCTGTAAGATGCCGTAAGATGTCCGGTTTTCTAACCTACTCCCAACAACACACAAACATGGGAACAAGAATCACCTGCAGTTCTATAAGGCACTTTCAATGGTTTTTATGTAATTATTTATTTAATTGGTTTGCTGCCCATCTCTCCATTAGGGGCAAGATATAGAATCTTGGAAAGAGCCAATTTCCAGACTTACTAATGACTTGATTAAGGAGGATCTTCTCAACTCCTTAAACCCCTTCTAGCCTCAATGGTACTGTCATTTATGAGATAAGCTACTCACAAACTCTACTCTTGATCTCTTGGTTGTTTTATGTTCAACATTCCTTCTATTGCTTTCCCAGCCTCTTCACAGTCTTTCACACATTCCCCTAGGGGTGTAATCCTTGGCTGTCTAACCACAACATGGCATTCAAAGTTAGGAACTAAAGGACTTTAAAAGAAATCGATCCTACATGTGTACAAGGTGATTCATTGATATTTGATTATATAACAATAGCCCTTAGACTTACATATAGCAATTAGACTTACATACTGCCTCACACTGCTTTACAGCCCTCTTTAAGTGGGTTACAGAGTCAGAATATTGCCCCCAACAATCTGGGTCCTCGTTTTACTGACTTTGGAAGGGTGGAAGGCTGACTCAATCTTGAGCCAGTCAGGATCGAACTGCTGGCAGTTGGCAGAATTAGCCTGCAATACTATTTTCTAATCTCCGTGCCTCTTATAAATTGAGTTATTTCTTTTAAACACAGCCCATGCCCACAGCTAACAAAGTATAAAGCTACATTTGAAAGGACTTCAGCTGGCAGGGAAAACCCTTCAGAATAAAATTATTTATCCTTGGATTTCCGGCTCAAGCATCGAAGGCTCTTAATGACAGGTTGGAGAAGGTAAAACACTTTTTTTTAATGTAGCCAAGTTGAACATGTGCAAAAAGAATAAGGTGCACATAACTATATAATTCAGGTGACGTGCTCTTCCCAATAAGGAACACTCTATTCTAAGCAAGCATCAAAAACAAAAAAAGGGCAAATGATGTTGGTAAATAAATTCTAAGATATTTTCCTCCTCATCTCACTAGAATGCCGTGTTTATTATTCATGTTATATGATCCAATGCATTTTAATAAGAGAAAGCTTAGAGCCCAAACAGGGCAGATAATGCGTGTGTGAAGATCTCAATTGTTTTCAAATTCTTTGAAAGCGATTGCAAAGGTTCCACTTCAAATTATGAAAGATGGGGACCACATCTCTCTCTCTTTTTAAAAAATCTATATTTTCTATTATGAAGCTGGCAGAACAATTTCCCTCCTGATCCTCTCCCTCCACCTAGTTTCACCTCCAGGATTGGGAAGCATGAAATATATGTATTTTTAATCCATCAATTCCATCGTCAGGACAATTGAGAGGAAGAAACAAAAACAGAGGGGCATTTGGGAAAGCTCTGAGCAACTCTTGTCAACCTACACTCACCGTTCCCCTACAGGGGAACTAAAAACACACTCAGGGCTGTGACAAGACGACAAATCTGTCAACAGGAAAACTTTGCCAGACCGAACCAAGTTGGACCTCGTTCAAGAAAATGCCACACACAAACCAATTCTTTGGAAAGCTGAAAAACAAACATTTGCTGAAGCTTCAAATCCTTAGTGGCATTCGGCAGGGCTGAGATCTGATCATCAAAAAAATGCATTGTTCCCAACTGGTTTGTCAACTTTTATCGGCAAGTTTTAATTGCACAAAAAATGGATGGTTGCCCTGAAGCCTGTCTGCAAAGTCCCTCTCTTTCTCAACCCCCCACCCCTCCTCCACATTTCGCTACCTCTTTGAAATTACTGTGAAATGCAAACTCCAGGCAATGTCAAATCTTTTAAGGAAACCTACCATGCCACACTCCAGCCCTTTCTGTCAAATACTCACGCATGCAAACAAACAGCGGGTTGTTGGGAAAAAGGGAGAGGTTGAAACCTTAGTGAGACTGCATTGTTTCCTATTCCAGACAAAATGGAGCCTTGTTTGTTGTGAAAGAATTTCTGTTGGAGATATTAAAGAGGAGGTAGGTTGGATTGACCTACCAAGATAAGTAATAAATGGAATACAGAGCTGGAAGGGACCTTGGTGATCTTCTAGTCCCCTGCGCAAGAAGAAGACTGTCAGGCTAACAGAACTTTTTCCCATTCAATTAGCAAGAATGAACTTCTGAGAACCAAACGTATCAAAAGGAATCCTTTATTGAGACAATTCATGTAGGGGGTCAAAGCAGCGTCTCAGGTCCCTCAGGCATACAGGGATACATAAGGGAGTTTAGAACCCCTCCCCTTATCTCGATGTGTATTTCGAGAATCAAAACCCAGTATGTTAATTCCCCTCCCGCCCCTTCTGTAGGAAGGATCTTTCTCACAGTTTCCCAGGACATACCTAATTTCCCCCCACCCCCTTTCTAGAATGAACTTTTTCCAGAGATTCCCTAGATACATCTCACTGGAATTTTTATGATCTTCTCATCTCCTGGCTGTGCCTCTCGGTGGTGATAGGTTCTGGCCATCTGGCTTTTCTCCCTCCATTGTATCATGTGTGGGTTATACAAATTTGATATAAGGTTAAATATATTCAGGTTACATCAAGAAAGGATTTATCAGCCTCCCCACCCGCTTTTCTTCTTCCACTGAAGAAATGACAGATACACGGATCTGACAAAGACTCTATACCAGTGGTGGCAAACCTTTTTGGCACTGATTGCCAAAACAGGAGCACACGCGCACTGGCAAATGGAGGAGCAGCTCCCTGGTGCACCAAACGGGAGCGCTGGAAACAGGAAGCTCGGTTTCCCAGCGTGCCACCTGGCCTTCTGGTTTCTAACACACATGTGTGTGCGAAGACCAACTGGCCAGTGTGCATGCATGCACCAGAACCTAGAAGAGCAACGGGCGACAGTTGGCGTGCCTGGAGATGGTGCCGCATGCCACTTCCTGCACGTGTCATAGGTTTGCCATCACGCCTCTATACCATCCATTCAAACGACTGCCTTATTATAAACCTCCAGTGGTGGGAGCGCCTACAACGTTGGGAGGTAAACCATTCATTCTACTGGTTAATTGTCCTCATTGTTAGGAAAATTCTCCTTAGTTGTAGGTTGGTTCTTTCCTTGATTAGTTTCCATCCATTGCTTCTTGTCCTGCCTTCAGGTGCTTTGGAAAATAACTTGACCCCTTCCTCTCTGTGGCAGGCCCTGAGATATTGCAACACTGCTATCATGCCTCCCCTGGTCCTTCTTTTCATTAAACTAGACATGCCCAATTCCAGCAACCATTCTTCGTATGTTTTAGCTTCCAGTCCCCTAATCAGCTTTGTCACTCTTTTCCTCACTCTTTTCATTCTCCAGTTACCGTTGTAATCTGCAAACCCTGGTTTGCAAATTACAATGGGTAAGGTTCACCTGACGTGCTAAGTTACACTTGGACAAAATAGGAGTAAAACAATTAGAATCCGATCAGCGATTGGGGATGTTTGCAAATATGGGTAGCCTTATTAGAAAGATCGCCAGATGTTATGCGCTGTTTTTTATATCACAACTCCAACAAAATGTGGTTAAAAATCCCAGAGGAAAAAAAAGTCAGGAACCTCAGATAACATTTAACCAATTCCACTATTTCTTAAGGATTTGAGAAATGTTTCTTTTGTTAGTCAGAGAGTCTATAAAAGAACATTTGTTCTTGCGCCATCTGCTCTTTGGCAAGGCCTTCCCGTATGTTATGTATGCTCAGGGTTGTGTTTATAGGTGAAAATCTTAGCAACAATCTTTCATTCTGTCCACAAAGGTACGTGGGCAGGGTTTGAATGATATTGTATTGCCTTTATGAGAACTGAATTCTCAACCGTATCCCATTGTTCAAAAATTCCTGAAATGTTTTCTCCAAACTCTTGTTTTTCCTTCAAAAAATTACTAATTGTTTTTCATTAAAGATTATGGGGGAGGTTACTGCAAAATCTCCATTCCCACCCCACTAACCTGCTTTCCAGCTCTGTGCAGGGCAACCAAAGAAGACCCAGCCGATCAACTGGGACTCAATAGGAGGCAGAGAATAGATGGGGGCGGGGCCAGTCAAGGTGGCATTTGCTGGTCCTCCCAACGACTCAAAATTTCCGCTACCGGTTCTCCAGAACTGGACAGAACCGGCTGAATATCCCCTCTGAAACGCACACATATTGCTGAAAATCCATAAAGGCATTGAGGCCACTGGGTAAGATTGCACAGTAACGTTCCAGAGCAGAAAAAAGGTTTACAGATGCCTGCAAATAGCAGTGGGGAGAGGTGAAAGGTTTGATTGCAAAGAATGGAAAGCAGTTAAATGACAGACCAAAAATTGTCCAGGATTTCGAACTGTAAGTCACTAATTCCCAACAACAACACTGACTCTGGCTAAACGGCCTTCTTAAGGGGCTTCCATAAATTCTCAAATTTTATTCATATCCATTTTATATATTAATAATCATGTTTATACTCATACCTGTTATCTAGTACATGCTGGACAAAATAATAATAAATAAAAAATAAATAAATCTGACAGGGTGGAGGCAGAAGGAGTTAATAAGTTTTGGAAAGAATGTTTTCACTAAACAAAACAAAAATCCCTTGCTATTCTTGCTTACAGTTCTTTGGGTGTTAATTCTGCCTGCATTGGGCATCCAAAGAGTGTGAAAATTAAGCTCAAGACAATTCCAGGACCCAGAACAGAAACAAACCAGAGGAAATCACAATTGCAAACAAGAGGGTTAAAGCTATGCAATCTCCAGGCATTTCTTTAAGGGAGAGGCTCGGGGGCGGGGGGGGAGCCCCACCGCCTCCTTCTCGTTCCTACCTGCTGCCTTCTGAAAAGCACTGATGGCCTTTTGGAGCCCGGCTGCCGTTTGCCGATTGCATTTTGTACCGATCTGCGTGTAGAGGGCTCCGATGTTAAATAAAATGCTGGCTTTTTCCAGCAACAAATTCTTCTGGCAAACGGGGACACCCGTGAAAGAGTCATACCTTCAATTAAAAAAAATAAAAAAGCAAAGAGAACATCAATGTTAACGACCCAGCGAAGAAACAAAAACGGGGAGAAATGAATTGATTCGCTTTCACAAACATTCTTTCTTATTCATCTCAATTTAGACCCAAACGTAGGTTTGCATGCCAATTGGTTCAGAAGCTGCTCTCCGATTCATCTCAGTTACAGACCGGTTTCCATAATGGACTAAGCCAGAGGTGGGATGCAAATATTTTTACTGCTGGTTCTGTGGGCGTAGCTAGGTGGGCATGGCCACGTGGCTGGGTGGGCGTGGCTTCTTTTTTGCAGCAACCCCCCCCCATGCTCCGGGGGGGGGGTTGCCTCCTGGCACAGCTGATCGTCAGGAGGAGAAAAAAATATATTTTTTTACTACCAGTTCAGCCGAACGGTAGCATTTTTTTACTACCGGTTCAGTTGAACAGGGCCAAACCGGTAGAATACCACCACTGGACTAAGCCATCCTTGGTTTAACTAGGGTGGGCTGAATAAAATGGTCGACGCAACCCATTAATTCACAGATAAATAAATCACTTTGTGAATTAGCATGATGTGTGAACCAGACCAGGTTCACACAGGTGCTTTTTCAAAAGGCAACTGGACTTCGTTTTTTAATCAATCAATCAATCAGAATAGAGTTGAAAGGGACCTTGGAGGTCTTCTAGTCCAACCTCAAGCAGGAAACCATATGCCATTTCAGACAAGTGACTGTCCAGTCACTTCTTAAAAACCTCCAGTGTTGTAGCACCCACAACTTCTTGTGCCGAGCTGGTCCACTGGTTTATTATTCTCACTGTCAAGAAATTTCTCCTTAATTCCAGGTTGCTTCTCTCCATGATAAGCTTCCATCCATTATTTCTTGACTTCTGGTGCTTTGGAGAATAGATTAACACCCCCCCCTTCTTTGTAGCAGCCCCTTAGATATTGGAACACTGCTGTTGTATCACCCCTAGTCCTTCTTTTCATGAAACTAGACAATGTTCAATTTCAAGAAAGATCTTACCAAGTATACAAAATGCCCAGATTTCTACTGGGTGAGAAGAACCGATTCTCTACAAAGCCAAGCTGTACGTAATAGCTCATCAGCATCTCAACTCCAGATTCATCTCTGCTAGGTGTCCGGCAGGCCTTTGAAAATATAAGGATAGGTATTAGCTATAAAGTTGATGTGTGGCCCCTATGAATGCTCTTAACTGATTGGGATTCAGGAAATATAAACAAAGCTATTTAAGGGGGTCTTTGGCAATAGCGCTGACACTTATATACCACTTCACAGGGTTTTACAGCCTTCTCTAAGCAGTTTACGGAACCAACCTATGGCCCCCCAACAATCTGGGTCCTCATTTTACCCACCATGGAAGAATGGAAGATTGAGTCAACCCTGAGCTTGGTTGAATCAAACTCCTGGCAGTAAGCAGAATTCACCTGCAATACTGCACTCTAATCACATATCAGTGTGACATCTATTTAATGGTCTTCTAAGGCCAGCTGTAGCTTAATTATAGTATGTTTATTATATAAATTATATAAAATTATTTTATATTATATTTGTATATTATACACATACAGACACACATACGTATACAGGTAGTTCTTGACTTACAACCACAATTGAGCCCAATATTCCCGTTGCTAAGCGAGACAGTGGTTAAGTGAGTTTTGACCCATTTCACCACTTTCCTTGCCCCAGTTCTTAAGTGAATCACTGCAGTTATTAAGTTAGTAATATGTTACAGGAATCTGCCTTCCCCATTGACTTTCCTATCAGAAGGTCGCAAAGTGTGATCCCATGACCTCAGAACACTGCAGTCATCATAAGTATGAGTCAGGTGTGCCAAGCATCTGAATTTTGATCACGTGACCATGGGGATACTGCAACAGTTGTAAGCATGAAAAACTGAATGGTCACTAAATGAACTGTTGTAAGTGAAGGTCTATCTGTGCATGTCATGCCCCCATCAGAGTCTGAATCCGAGGCGGAAGATGAACAGCCGAGAGAGAGGCTCCGTTGGCTGTGGAGGAAACTGGGGAAGGGCAAAGTCAGGCTGGGCAGAGATAGAACAAGGGAGAGGGAATTCAGATGAAGACCAAAGCCCACCCCCTCTTCATCCTAGGGAACGCAGGGAAGAACAGAGAAGAGAACAACATGAGTTGCATGGCTTACAGGGGAGGAAAGGGCCCTGATTCCCTTCACAAGGCACAGTTGGGGAGGGTGTTTAAAGGCGAGGCAGTTGGGAGAGGCATTTTTGGGGAACAAATGTTGAGTTTATCTAATGTTGGCTACTGTTATGTGAGTTCCTGGCATCCTCCCAACTGGTTGGATTTACTGCCGTGTTACTTCACTTCTGCCGGATTTATTACCTTATCTTGCTTTGTTGGATTTATAGTTTAAAGTTTTCTGTGTACAGTTTTGGATTGGAATAGCTGCAGCCAAGGGCAGTTGCAGGTTTCTGGGAGAGCTTTTCTCCAGACCGGAAGATAACCAGGTCATTGGGAGCAAAATTGCGGCTACTAAAGGGACCTCTACTTATTATCTGGCTGAGTTGCCTTTATGCCATGCCCGGGGTCATCACAGTATGTATTCAATACACAGTGTGTATTCAAATATCATCTCTATTAAATTATTGATACAATCCTAGATATTTTTCTCTTGTTCCAATTATGATCTTTTCTTGTTCAGATTATGATTTTGGCAAGTTTAAAACAGTTGTTTTGAGTATAACATTCCTGTTTCCCATTCAAAACACACTTTGGATGCTGAAAAGTTTGTTTTCAGCTATCAAGGTCAAAAGAGCCTGAAAGGGAAAAGAGAGAAGTAATAACTATTTATTTGTGTATTACATTTGTATGCCACCTGGCTCCCAATGACTGTGGGAGGTTCACAACAAATAAAATCATTATAACAGAATTAATTAAAGGAAAAGGAGAAGGAGTGGTGGCCTGAAAACTAAATGCACTAGAGATTGGTACTGTTATTTCCCTTTTATTATGTTTAATTAAATGAGAATAAAACAAGGACAGGCTCTTTCCCTTTTCCCCCAAGACTGAAAATCAAACAGAACCTTCTTAAAACTTACCTGTCTTAAATCCATAAGATCTGCAATTTCATTTTCATATTCTGCACCATCTTCATTGTAATGTTCCAGAATAAAGTCCTGAAAATAATCAAAATAATCCATTAAAAATTTATTTTTTAAAAAAAGTCTCCAAATTGTGTATTTATTTCATTCAGGCACAGACATAAATTAAAATATCCAGCATTCTGCCAAGAGGGACTGAAGAAATCTACCTAAAAGGTTTACCCAGAATGATACCTGGAGTTGACAAGATGGAATTAAATGTAAACTGAGTTTCTTTCAAAAGATTCTATTCCATTAAAGTTCATTGCACTATAGACCCTCAAACTTGATTTATATATCTGGACAATCACTGCTGCTTTTTTTTGTCACAACTATGTCAGAGACTAAACCTTGTTTCTGAATGTAAGAGAGAAGATAGAAAAATGGAGAGCTTAGATTGGAAAAATATATCTATAACCTGATATTGAGAAAGTTTCCATATCCAATGGTATCAAAGTGATTTGTATTAAAAGTCGCTATATGTCATTAAAAGTTTCCCAGGAAATTTACATGACAAAGTTTATAGGAAGCTAGGTTCCTAAATTCTACAATGGAAGCTGTGAATGAAATGCGTATTTTCTCCCACCCCGCTTAGTTTAAAAATGAATTTTAAAAGCCAAGATGAGACAGAACACTATCTCATCAATACAGAGAATAAACTGGACCGTTTACACTAACCTGCTCATGTGACTGGATGCTCTTTTGATCTGATTAACGAAGCTATTGCTTAAGTTAGATACAGATATTCAGAGTTGGAATGGACCTTGTAGCTCATCTAGTCCAACCCTCCGCCTAAGCAGAATATTCTTATAGAAATTCTGATTTATAGCCTATATTGCAGGCAAACTCTGCCCATAGCCTGCAGTTCAATCCTGTCCGGGCTCAGGCCTGACTCAAGATGGTTGCAAATAATGCTTACGTTGTAAACTACCCAGAGTGTGCTATAAATCACTAACGGACCATATACAAGTCTAAGGTGTTATTGCTATTATACTGAAATTCCTTGGCACAAGTGTTTCTTAAGCTTGGCCACACCCTCCAGCTGTTGTGAACCTCAACTCTCAGAATTTCCCAACCAACATGGTCATCATTGATGAAAATTCTTAGAGTTGACAAACGTTGTTTACCTCCACAATTGGCCAGGGGAAAAGGGGATCATCCCAAATTCCAAAGTCTGCTGGACTTGTTTGCTTGCTAGACAGATGACTAGCAGGCCTGTCCTATCATTAGGAGAATGAGGCTCAAAGGGCTTTAGCAAACTAGCTTGCACAGCTAATTTTGAGGCTTCCTGGCCCTTCTAAAAAAAAAAAAAAAATGGGCTGCTGGACTTTAGATCTCTTTCACTGTCTATCTCAAAGCACAAAGTTTTGGTGTGATCTCTGATTTTTAAAAGCAAGAGAGTGAGGCTTGGGGTAGAATCAAAAGAATAAAGTCCATTAAGTCAGACATATCCAACAGTTAGAGGAGAAGGAACTCAGATAAAGGCATGGAGAAAGAACTAATTTAATGCGCAGTATATAAATATTTGTATAGCTACTGGTCAGCAGCTTCTGGATAAATCTAACAACAACAAAAAGGGGAGTTTTGAAATACAAAGAAGCAATTTTAGGAAAGGGATTCCTATGAGGCTCTGCCTCTCTGTCCAAATTAAATTAGATCCAGTTTCTATTGTAATTTGTTAGTTATTTTATTCCTAGGAAAAAGCTTAAGGGGAGAGCTATTATCAGGAGAACGTTGGCAATTTACTTTTTTTTTTTGAGCAAATATTTCTTTTAACATGTTTTTAATTGTTATTTATGAGCAAACAGCCTTAATTAACAGCCTTAGGGCTGCTGCTTGGGGAAAAAAAAATACCTTAAGCGGTGCTGCGAAGTCGACATCTTTAGTCTCTTTCAGGCCAAGCGGTATCAGAGGAATGCTGAAGGTTTCCCTGCATTAAAAGAAGAAATGCACATTAATATCTTTGATTTATAAGAGTTGGTGGCTGAGAAATTGTTATATATAAATCACTGGTTTCATTTGGACTTCCTCATCCGACTCAGCGCACGGAATGGGACACACCTGTTCCCTGTGGCTTAAAAAAAGCACAACTTTTCCAGGCCAAAGGCCACTCTTGACCTTTAAATGGCACAGTGGAGCCCATATTCTGAAACATATATAGTTCCCGGTGCGGAATAAAGCAAAGGAAGGCTTAAAACTCAGTTTGCTCTGATTTAGTTTATACTCAGTTTATTGAGAAATAAATTCCAATAATGGCATGCGCTTCGTGCTATCCTTCCTTATGATTTAGTCACCGTTTTAAACAGATTTAAACAGATAATCAGAGTTGGAAGGGACTTTGTAGGGACCTTGTAGGTCATCTAGTTTAACCCTCTGCCCAAGTAGGAGACCCTACATCATTTCTGACAGATGGGAGTCCAATCTCTTCTTGAAAGCCTCAAGTGATGGCGCTCCCACAACTTCCGAGGGCAACTTCTGTTCCATTGGTTGATTGTTCTCACTGTCAGAAAGTTTCTCTTTATTTCCAGGTTAAATCTCTCCTTGTTCAGTTTCCATCTATTGTTCCTTGTCTGGCCTTGGAAAATAGCCTGACGCCCTCCTCCTCTCTGTGGCAGCCCCTCAAATATTGGAAGACTGCTCTCATGTCTCCCCTTGTTCTTCTCTTTACTGAACTAGCCATGCCCAGTTCCTGTTTTGCTGTTGTCATCAATATCCATCAATACTGAAGGCAAGTTTTGCAGAAGTTCTTGGAGCCATAGCAAGAATTTGAGGGCTAGGTGTAACCTGGGCCCACTTCCCACTGCCCCATGTTTAATTAGCTGGAGCTAATTAAACTATAACCTGGAGCCAGCATATCTAAGATAAAAGGATTCCTACAGATCCTCCCAGAGTTTATAGTTTTGTTTACCTGCCTAACCATCTTAGAAGTCCTGGTCCTTGTATCCTGCAATCTAGTTATTTAGTTTACAGGTATAATCTCCTCCAACTCCCCAGAAAACCACCAAATTGTAGGCACTTAAGTCAGAAGACTTAAGTTTGCCAGTGGAAATACTCACAGGAAAGGGAAATAATTAATCACAGTGAGGTGGACTTAGGAAGATGTTCAATCACAACAAGGCTGAGGAGTATTATGGTCAATTAGCATGAACAGCAGGAGAAACTGAGCCCTGGAGACTTCTGGTTCTCCAAAGACATGGTGTAGCCTCAAACAACAAAGAGTAGTCAGGCTACTAGGAGGAGTATTCCTGGAATCTATTCTAAGTCAACCCTCCTTAACTGTTCTTTTGTAAGCACAGATCACTTATCTTGCATTATAGTAATGTGTTCCATATACCAGGGGGTCCAATCTTGGCAACTTTAGGGTTGGTGGACTTCAACTTCCAGAATTCCCTAGCCAGCATAGTAAATTGTGGGAGTTGAAGTCCACAGGTCTTAAATGTTGCCAAAGTTGGACATTCCCTGTCACATACTAAGAGATCCAACTGTTCTAGCAAAAATAAGCAGAAATTCTAAGCATAAAACCATCGCCATCATTTGCACAGGAATATTCCAACCTAATGTTGCCCTTCCACTATTTTCTCCTGGTCCTCCTTTGCCATTGTCAAGAACAAACCCAACAGCCATCCCAACAGGAGCCATCTACTGCTATTATTTTGAGGCAGCCTGCATTTGGAGGGAACCGAGAAACAGAAACAAAGCTTTCCTTTGGATTTTCAATGTCCCTCTCAAGATCATTTTTATAAAGCTGCCAAGGCTTTTGCACATAGCTTTCTAAGTCCACCAGTGCTCTTGCCAATACTCGTGCTGAATGTAGAGTGGCATTCAGTTCCTCCTTCTGACTCTCTTGAAATGCCAAACTCACAGGGAAAAAATAGTAGAAGTCCTTCTAAATATTCAACCAAGCCAGAAACAACCGAACTCAGAGAACTCAGAGAACACCAAGGGCCCCTCATTTCAACTCTGAGCTATAAATATTCTTGTTTATCGGTGAAAACTGGCAAAATATTGAACACTTCAATCTCTGGATGGATTAATGCATCATTTATGATCAATAGATGGGTTAAAATCCTAGTGACAGCAAAACCCAAGCATATGCATAACACTCTGTGTGTGTGTGTGTGTGTGTGTGTGTATGGTATTCTGCTTTAAGAAAACATGTGTGTGTGTGTTCTATTCTAGCAATTGCTTCATGACTGGGCAATTTTCTTCCCCATAACAACATCCTGTGAGGTCAGTTGGGCAGAGTGACCAGACCCAGGTCACCCACGAAGCTTCCTTAGCTGAGGTTCAACCTGAGTTTCCCCAGGACCAGTTAAACACCTTTACCAATTAAATCACATTAATACCTTGATTCACACCTGTTTTTGTTAACTTTAAACCTGGGCATCTACTACGACAAGGTGGAATAAGGACAGGGGGGTGTCATCTGTCTTTGTGGGTATGTTAAAATTCAAGTTCCGTGTATTGATATTGCTTACATACAATAGCAATAGCACTTATACTTATATACCGCTTTATAGTGCTTTAACTATAACTAAACCCTCTTTAAGGGTTTACAGGGTCAGCATCTTGCACCCCAACAATCTGGGTCCTCATTTTACCATCCTCAGAAAGATGGAAGGCTAAGGCAACCTTGAGCCTGGTGGGATCCGAACTGCCAAATTGCAGGCAGCTGATAGTCAGCAGAAGTGGCCTGCAGTTCAGCACTCTAACCATTGCACCACCAAGGTATACATAAGGATATACCTCTTCAATTTTGTCCCACCCACCTTTTACATGGTTCTTATGACTCCCTTTTACAGTGAAGCTCCTGATATGATGATGGATGGCCATGTTTGCAGGCCTCTCAATCCAGTAAAAAATGTCTAACACTGTGAATAATCCTGTTTTGTAAACTCTAGTGTCTCTGTTTGACAACAACCCATGCCAAAATGCCATCTTAATTATCTTAAAGTAATCTAAGAATCTAAGCCAGCATCTGCTTGCCTATCTATTTGGGATGGAAGATTTTTTTCCCCCAGAATGCTCCTGTGAACCATTGAGACACTGTCCATTTACTTGGAGCCAAGCCGCACTAAAAGCCTCCAATACAGGAAACCAGCCAATCAAGACAAAAAAAGCTACAAAACAGACAGAAGATATTAGAAACACCAATCAAGCAGAACACAGCAAACTCCAAGACCAATAAACACAGACCAAGACTCCCAATCAATCAGAATGAAGAAAAAACCATTCTGGCACAGCAGTAGGCTAGCACCAAATTTAAAACAAAAACAGCTGTGAAAGTTTGACTCACAGACAAACACAATACAGAAGCCTGATGATGGCAGATGAGATTCTGCCGAAATGTTGCTACAACTTTAAAAGCACAACTATAATGACGTGGGAAAATACCCGAACAAAGCTGAATACCATACATACATACATACATACATACATACATACATACATACACAAATATTAATCACTGTCCATTTTGAATGCATATTGGAAAGAGGAAACTTGAAAGTTTGCAAGGTTGATGCACAAAACTGTGACTGAATCTACTGTAGATGTTCTTGTGATGACCTGCGGCAATACAGTCAAATAAGCAAGAAAAGTCCCTTTATTATCTCCAATTTTGCCCCCAATGTCCAGGTTACCTTCAGTTGGAGAAAAAACTCTCCCAAGAACAGTCTTTAAGTGGAGGAAATTTAGTCTGAAAACGAAGTACATACAAACTGTAACTAAAAATCCAAACAAACCATGCTGCAGTAATTAACTTGACAGAGCAGGAGAAGGAATTGCAGACTTGAAAGCACCTCAAAACACACAGTTGGGAAGATGCCAGGAACATAGATAAGCCTAGACAATACCAGATAATTCACGATTTGCTCCCAACAACTTGCTGTGCGCAGCTTCCCTTTTTAAACACTGTGTTCCCAGCTGCAGCTATTGAAGGGAATCAGGGCCCTTTCCTCCCCCGTAAGTCACACAACTTACGTTGCTCCCTTCTCTGCTCCTTCCTGCATGCCCTAGGATGAAAAGGGGGTGGGTCTGGGTCTTCCTCCGAATTCCCTCTGCCTTGCTCTACCTCTCCCCTGCTCTGCCCAGCTGGAGTTTGCCCTTCCCCAGTTTCTTCCACAGCCAACGGAGCCACACTCCCACTCCCTGTCAACTGTTCAGCCTCCCGCTACGAATCAGACAGGGGCATAACAGTTCTGCTTTGGATATCATGAAGCTTCTTCCCAGAAGGTAACAAGGAAAACAGCCTGTGAAGAGAAGGCGTATTGCCCCAAACAATACTGTGGACCCTGCTCAAGCATCACTTCTATGCTATGTCTTAAGCATGTTCACTCTCTGTTTTTCCTGTTTGCTTCCAGGGGATTTAAGGGGATTAAAATAAGGGGAAGAATTGCCTCTGCCTTTCTCACTGCCACCCAAACCACCTCGTTGGCAGTATTAATTACTCTGAATACTTTTCCCAGAAGCAATTTAAAAGGTCTCCCTTAATCCTTGAGCACAGCAGGGCCATTTCGGTAATACAGCTTGTTCTTTTGTCATTTTTCTTAAAAAGAAGAATTCTTTCTTCAGTTTTACATTCTCTGGCTTGTTTGTTTTTAAATTAGTTAGCAAAAAGAAGAGAGCATCACTGCAATCAATTCCCCCCCCCCCTTCACTTACTCTGTGTTCTGGTACACCTCCACGGAAATATTGAGCCCTTCTAACTCTTCCTTGAGGATCTGGAGGTTGGAATTGACATAGCTGAGTTCCAGCAACACCTGTTCTCGGATTTTGGGGCTGGTCGTTGCACTGCCAAAGGAAAAATAAATAAACACATGTTTGGAGAACAATCACTTAATAATAGAATGAGCCTAACCATCATTTTTCTCTATTTTTCAAATTATTTCCATATATATAAATATATATATATTTCTTTTTACAACCCTGTAATCCCTTTTATCCGGATGGAGTTGGGGCAACTCAGCATTTACTGTCTGAATGCCCTTCATGACACCTATGTGAAGTTCACAGCAGATATTTTATCTTGGCAGCTGGATAAGAAATGTCTGTGGTTGCCTTGGATTGAACTCTCAACTTTCCAAGTGGAAGGCAAGGGCCTTCGCCTCTAGCGCACCATGCCGCTCAATTTCCTTATAATATTTTCCTTGCCTATTTTCTCTATTCTTCAGATTATTCCCACACCGACATAAATAGGTAGTCCTCAGCTTAGAACTTGGCATTGAAAAAAGTAACTCATGACAGTTTTTCACACCTGCGACCGTTGCAGCGTCCCCGTAGTCACGTGATCAAAATTCAGGTGCTCAACAAGTATTTACGACAGTGTCAACTCATAAAATATTTATCTGGTCTTTTTAGAGTTGCCAACAGAAAGGGTGGGTGGGGGGAGCAGTGCAGCAGCTTGCAAAACTGAAACTGCATTCCATAAATGTTTTCAAAGATAGTAACTAGGTGACTAAAGTTTCTGCCTTGCAAAAATCTAACTGGAGAGCATGATTGATGACTCTTGGCTATGGATGTGTCCCATTGGAGAATATGAATTACGATACACCCAGGGGTTGGGGGAAAACCAGGGCCAAGGGTGACAAGGAATGATGTGTCTCAGAGTTGGCTACACCCAGGCAGTGCCAGCATGTTAACTCCCGATAAATCCTTTTTAAGTTTTGGAAGTGTAGCTTGAGACTCATGATTTAAATGGGGGTAACTGCTGGAATCCTGACAGACAGTTGCAGCATCCTGGGATCCCCTTTTGCAAATTTCTGACAAAAAAAAAATTCATGGGAAAGCCCAATTCACTTCATGTGATGACCCGGGAAGCAGCACACACATAATAAATTCCCAAACCTAAATAAATTTCCTTTAATGCCTCCAACTTGGCCTCACTGTGCAATTGTTCGCAGTTGGAGATTAAACTCTTTCCAAAATAGTCTCCAAATGAAAGAAATACAGTCCTAACTCAAAGAACAGATAACGGAGAAATAAAAAACCAAAACAAACCGCACTGAAGGAATTTTTATGACAGACCAGGATAATTAATTACAAACTTCAAGAAGATAACAAGGCACAGTCCGTTGGAAGATCGCCAACCAAGATAAACCTCAGCCAGAAATAAAACACACTTTGCTTCTAGCAACGCTGTGTTTTAAACGCCCCTCCTTTATACTATTCCCCCCAGCTGCAGCCAATGAGGGGGATCATGGCCGCTTCCTTTCCCATAAGCCAAGTTGTTCCCTTCTCTGTTCCTCTCTGTGTGCCCTAGGATGGGGAGGGGATGGGCCTGGGTCTTCCTCTGACTGCCCAGCTGGCCTCTGCCCTTCACCAGTCTCCTCCACAACCTCCGGAGCCATACCTTCACTCCCTGTCAGCTGTTCCTCCTCTCCCTCAGAGTCAGTCTCCACCAGGGGCATGACACTTCACAGCCATGTTATTAGATTAACAACTGAAGGCAAAAACTTAACAACTGTGGCAAGAACCATTGCAGAATGGGGCAAAACTCACTGAACAGCCGTCTTGCTTAGCAAGAGAAATTTGGGGCTCAATTGTGATCATAAGTCGACAACTACTTTAAACTCTAGAATAACGATGTGGTTAAAACCATCCCGTTGCATCCAACGGCCCAGAGAAAAAGGGTTATTGTTTTGAAAGGAACCCATATAGAAAGAAAAGCAGGAGAGGGTTGGTGGAACTGCAGATAGCCTCCTTTGAGGGGGGAACAGTGAAAACATTATGTAAATCGGCATGCCAAGCTCCGCCTTCTATTTATTTTCAATAAGGTGTTGGAGCGAACGGGCTGCTGGCTGGGAAGTGAGAGGCTGTTCCTGTTGAGAAGGACAAAGGCTGCATTTTGTGACTGTGGGCAGAAAAGGAGCGGGGACTCGTGGGAACATACCGGAGGAGGTTTTCTGCGCCAGCTCTCATCCTCACTGCTTTCAGAATCTGCTGGTTCAGGACAGCTCTCCGATTTTGCAATTTGCTCCGCCCAGTTTCTGCAAGGGGGTTGCATCCCTGAATAACAGAAAAGATATCCATTATCAAAAGGACAGGACCACAGAAAGAGAGAAGGAAGGTCGATTCCTCTCCCCACCCTGAAAAAAATAAAGCCTATCCCTGCATTTTAGAAACGAAACTTTGAAAAGAACGAAACTTTTGATTGTGGGTTTCACAGATCAGACTGATAAAGGTTCTTGTAGACATGACTGGTTTATACTATTATGGTAAAAACAAAAAGTTGTGATTGTTGTTAATGCCCTATTCTACTGTAACAGATAGTTGAAAGTCAACGCTTCTTTTTCTTTTTCTCCCTTTCACTGTCTTTTTATTTGCTTTGGTATTTTACATTTTATAACACTTTATAACTTAATAAACCCGGATAAGAAATGGCGGAGTTGTTGCAGAAAAATAGTTCTCGGTCTTCTTGAGAAAGAAGATGTGATAAGGGACAGCACCTGAAATCTTGCATCTGTGGCAAGAGGGGGAACTCCAGAGGAGGGAGAATTCCAGATGTTGCGGACTTACCGCTCCCAGCAGCCCCTGCCAGGATGGCCAAAGGTGAGGGATGCTGGGAACTGTGGTGCAGAAATTGTCTGAATAGATTCAAAATCAGTCTCCTGTCTTTCTGGAACTTTTTGGAAGAGTTTCCACAAATGGGTTCTGCAGCAATCACTTAAAATATGTTTGTCAATTTCCTTCCTTTCCGATTTACTTTTTCTCCCAATAATCAGCTTTTCCAACCAGTCTTGTCATGTGGGCATTTTGCTTCTAGGTGGCTTGTGGGTTTATTCCTAGCACAGAACTTCTGCTCAAATTTCCTATTACTTCCCACTAATATTTCTTTGATGTTGACCATGGAAACATATGCATCTGGAGAACTGACATATCCATCACTTGAATAATGGTTTTAAATATGAAGAACTTTTAAGAATTATAATGCTATTTTCTTTCTTTCCTCCAGATTTTATGGGAACAATAAGCTCCAAATGTCCTGTGGTTTGAGAAGTTGCCCTTCAGGTGGTCCCCATTTAACAGCCAATGACCATTTAAGATACAATGGACTTCCCCAGAGCTACTTAAGTTCTATGGATGTATTACTACTACTACTACTACTACTATTATTATTATTATTATTATTATTATTATTATTATTATTATTATTATTATTATTATTCCTATCTTCTTTAGCAATAGCACTTAGACTTATGCACTGCTTCACAGTGCTTATACAGCCCTCTCTGGGTGGTTTACAGAATCAGCCTACTGCCCCAACAATCTGGGTCCTCATTTTACCAACCTAGGAAAAATGGAAGGCAGAGTCAACTTTGAGCTTGGTGAGATTCGAACTGCCAAACTGCAGGCAGCCGGCAGTCAGCAGAAGTAGCCTGCATTCTAACCACTGCATTTTAACCACTGTGCCACCATGGTTCATTTCTATCCCCTCTTATTGGTATCATCATTATGATCATTATTACTCTCCTGCTTTGCACATACACTGGGAGCATTTGCGCCAGAGACAAATTTCTTGTGTGCTGAATTAAACTTGGCCAATAAAGTATTCTATTTTCTTATGACCCATTTTCGAAGTTCCACCAGCCATGCTCACATACCCCTGCACATGCTGTCCTTGATGGAAGGTATCATGCTGTCTCACAAGGATTGGGTTTTCACATCTCATGAAACCAAGATGAATTTCATCATTTGGCACCGAATTATAAGCTACCATTGGCTGAATCTACTCCTTGTGTTGTGCCATAAACATGGTACACAAAGTGCAACAGCTGGCACATCACAATGATGCCAGCACCAACAAAACCATGATGAGGCGAAGCTAATGGTAGCTCCATTGCCAGCAAACTGGCCCATCCAATCCAGTCTTCAAGATCTGGAAACCGTCGAAGTCCTCATATGTAATTTAGGATGACAGAGGTTGAATCTGTGAGGCTCTTTAAACAAGCCACATCCTGAAAACTGACCTGTGGGTTGTGGTCCTTCAAAAGGAAGTGTTGCCTTCAAATGACCCGGTGTTTCATTTCATTCAAGAGATGCTATCAAACCACACTGGCGTACCACAAATCACCTTTGATTGTGTTTTTCATCAACCAGAGTAGAAACAGATCAAAACAGCAGATAGTCGACCTTAAAATAAAATAAAAAACCCCTGTCCAAATGTAAGGCTGTCATCTTGGTATGTGAAAATATTTCACTTTTATGTCATGTTTCAATCCACAAACAGGAATTCCAAGCATTTTTCTCCCCTAGCCCAGGATATCTGGATATCTGAAAGCCCAAAGACCCTTACAAAGACATTATAATGACCAAAGTTGCTGGGAGGGATTTCCTTAAGTTTCTTTTAGAAACCATTGCTTGGGTCCAAAGCCTCATCTTCATTCATGACAAGATCTCACACAAAGCAAATTAGAAAAAGGTTGCACTTCTGCTGTGTGTGTTTCTTTTTTCTTTTCTTTTCTTAAAAAAAAAAGAAGAAACTGTTTTATTTTGTGGCTACTCTCTTACTGAAAGATAAGAAATTCAAATATGACTAGGACTGCAGAACAGGTTAAACAGTTTGCTTAACTGGAACAAACATCGTACTAAGGGCAGTAAAGCTTTAAAATCAAGGAAAGATCAAAAGCCAAGGCCATCAAAACTGGCAGACCCAGCTAATTCCTCAAAACCTGGTTCCAAATATCTAAAAATCTGCCACAAAGAAGGAGGGAAATCAACCTATTCTCCAAAGCACCCGAAGGCAGGACAAGAAGCCAGGAACGGAAACCAATCAAGGAGAGAAGCAACCTAGGAGTAAAGAGAATTTTTCTGACAGTGACAACAATTAACCAGCTCAATGGCTTTTTCCAGAAGTCGTGGGTGCTCCGTCACTGGAGCAGAGGTGGGTATTCAGCAGGTTCTGACCAGTTCTGGAGAACCGGTAGCAGAAATTTTGTGTAGTTCGGAGAACTGGCAAATCCCACCTCTGACTGGCCCCGGCCACATCTATTCTCCACCTCCCGAGTCCCAGCTGATTGGCTGGGTCTCCTTTGGTTGCCCTGCACAGGAGAACAGAGCTGGAAAGCAGGTTAGTGGGGTGGGGAGGGAATGGAGATTTTGCAGTATCCTTCCCTCCTGGAGTGGGGAGGGAATGGGGATTTTGCAGTATCCTTCCCACACCGTGCCCACAGAACCGGTAGTAAAAAAAATTGGAATCCCACCACTGTATTACTTGCACGGCTGAAATACAGGCAGCAGATCAAGCTGTTGGTTTGTGGTTACCTGTTTTCTGTTCAAAGCAGAGGAAGGTAAAAAAAAAAAAGTTGGCTTAAAAAAAGATTTTATGAAAAGCACAGATGTCCCTTGAGGTACCTTTGAGAAAAGAATGGTGTTCTGCTTGCATGGAGGCTGGTGAAAGAGAGAGAGTTAATGTCTCCATTGGAAGTTAATGACTTGCATCGGGAGCATAGTAAAAAGAGAGCTGGACAAATATTAACCAGTATATAAAAGGAGACTTCCTGTTCTCCTCCTTAAAATGTCTCTTGGAGAAAAAGCTATCCAGTGTCTTAAAGGCCTGAAGAATAAGATATGAGTCTGACATGACAATTTTATTTCTAAGAAATGAACAATAGAAGCAAGAAAGCTAATATGTTGCCTGGCTAGCCATAAATACTTGCCTCCCATTTGAATAAAGCCCAATTTATTTTTTCTTTCTTTTGGGGGGGTGGGATGGAGGTGGGGACAAAGGTCCATGTTGCAGACTTGCATTCATAAACCAGTCAAGCTGTTGTCTGCAAGACTTCAGAAATAAAAATAGCTTGATATCGAAATCTCTATAGAGCCTCAATCAATATTCACAGTTAGCAACTGAACTAAATCTTTATGCAATCAAGGTGCCAGCAACCCACTTTTTAAAACTTCTATTCATTTTTATTTTATAGTTTACAATAATTCCATCTTTCATTTCAATCCTCTGTCGACTGGGTACATATATCTTGCACTTACAATTATAATTAATACTTCACTTACCAATATAACAATAATCACATTTTCTTATAGCTATTATTTAATATATGTATTATTATTTTTAACAAACTTATTTTATTGCTCTATATATTCATCTGGTCTATTTTAATTTATTTTATTTTCCAACCATTGATAAAATAAATCTCATATCATACAATATTCTGTTTCTTCTTTTTCTTTGATTACCAATGTTAACCTATTCATTTCTGCACATTCAAATATTTTCTCAATTACTTTTCCCTTTATTGGTATCTTATAACTTTTCCAATTCTGAGCAAATACAATTCTGGCTGCTCCACTTTTTAAAACTTCTGATAATGAAACCATTGGGAAAAAAAATGGAGAACTGGGATCTCCTTCAGACAATTGGACTGATTGATTCTATTGAAATGTTGATTGATGGAACCTAGGACTGAGGGAAATGCAGAATATACTCCATTGGGGTGTGTTTTGCAATAGATATGCCAACAAAAAGAAAAATTAGCCTTTCAATGAATGCAGATCTCAATTTAAAAAAAACTTCCTAATGTATTATACTGAAAGAATGGAGATGTTTATGGCCTATCTCAATAGAAAAATTTCCTAATGCATCATATTGGAAGAATGGAGAGTTTGTGGCCTGCCTGAGATCTATTTACATGGAGTATGTTCCTTCTCTAGAAACTGAATTTCATTTCCCTGGAGCTGCCATCATTGAATACGTTATATTTTATTATTGATTATATTGTAGAAACAATTACTGTTCCTTTAACAAATGGGCAGAACATTTTGAGGACATAGGGCTGCACCTAACCTTTGAATCAAATATTGAAGAATTCGGCGGGGCAAAGACAAACACAAAGCCGTATGGGGTGAAATGCAGCAAGGTATTAATTAAATATAGTCAAGAGGATTATTTATCAAGTGTTCCCTCCTTGCCGCATTAAAAATAAGAATCTGGGAGGCATCTCTAGAGACTTCAGTGGAGCTGCATGCAATTCTGGGGCCGCAGCCTGCACACC